TGAGGTGACAGATACCCCAGCTACTCTGATTTGATCATTACACAGTGTATGCCTGCACCGAAACATCACATGTACCCCATAAATGTGTATAACTATTATATATCCATAATTAAAATTTTTAAACTTTAAAAATAAATAAATGCTATTCTCCCAAAGCCTATACTCTTCTTTAAACATGAAATAATTTTTGTGCCTTCTAATAAGCGGCAAAATAATCCAAAGGCTTGAAAATGAAATTATTAAAGAATAAAATGGACTAGATTTAAAATTCCTAGGATTCTGAAGTGTCATAGGTGTCATAATTTCAGCTAAAACAAAAATGAGATAATAATACCTAGCACATATAAGATTTTTTTCATAGAAAGTTAGATACTATTATGCTATAGCAAGGATGTAGGAAAACCAGAACCCTCACTCATGGCTGGTGGGAGTGAAACAGAAGGCTACTTGGGACAGCAATCTCATAGCAGTTAATTTATGACTTCTGCATGTATTCTACTACCTAGTAATTCCATTTCTGGGCATAGAGACAGAAAACTTCTCACACAGGGCCACAGTAAGATGTGCATGAAGACGTTTATCTCCAAGTTGTTGGAGGTATCAAAGTATCAGAAGTTGGATTCTATGACTAGTAGAATGCATAAATAAAATGAAGGCTGAAGAGAGACTAGAGCAGTAGACATAATGAGACAGGTTATCATACAGCAACATAAAGAAATCTCAATGACATAATGTTGAATGAAAAGAGTTAGAAGCTATAAGTATCACTGTACAGTGAGAATTATGTAAGCCTTAAAAACAAACACATACAAAGTCACATCATTTCAAGAATATGCATATTTAATAAACAAATGGAAGATAGATTAGAAAGACATACAATAAACATACTAGAATGAATAACTATGGAAGGAAAAAGAGGGATGGGATGAAAGGAAAAAGAAAAAGAAAGAACAGGAAACAAAATGGAGAACTCGCCCAGATAGAGCACAAGGAAATACTGAGACAAACTGAGAACTATGTTTAATTTGATTCTGTGTGTCTATTCCAATGGGAGAGTGTTTGGGAAAGACAAAGGCGGAAAAAGATAAGAAAGCAGAAGAAATAAATATTAGCCTCTTGATACTGTAAAACACAAAAAAAAATGTGGTTTTTTTTTTATTTTCACATAAAATGATTCGCATTTGAACATTTTACAACACGATGTAATCATTTACCAGTTGCTACTCTAAGTCTATTGACTTTATTTTTTTTTTTTATTTCGGCATATTATGGGGGTACAGATTTTAAAGTTTCAATAAATGCCCATCCCCCCTCCCCCCACAAGTCTGAGTCTCCAGCATGACCATCCCTCAGACGGTGAGTCTATCACTCGTTATGTATGTATATACCTGCCCCCCCTCCCCCCCTCCCCAATACCCTATTACTGTAGTACCTATGTGTCCACTTAGGTGCTGCTCAGTTAATACCAGTTTGCTGGAGAATATATCTGGTGCTTGTTTTTCCATTCTTGGGATACTTCACTTAGTAATATGACTTTAAATCATCTAATGCAAGTCTATATAAATATGATTCTTTTTTTTCTGATATAGTGTCACAGCTGCATTTTCCCACATGAAATGCTCACTGCTTTGTAGCTTCTCATTATCTTAGGTTTGTCTGAAACTTGTCATTACTATAAGATCAAGTAAAATTCTTCAAATTATTTACAAGGTTATTTTCAGTATGAAATGATTTATATTCAATTGGAATCAGTGATTCCACATACTGTAATATAATAACTTTTAACTATTAACCCTGTATTTCTAGATATGTATATAATTTTTTCTTTTCTCCCTGTTTTTTATGTCTCCTATTCATAATTTTTTCTTTTCTCCCTGTTTTTTATGTCTCCTATTCAAAGGCTTTTCTATATTTCTTTAAGACATTTTTAAAAAACTATATGTAAAAAAAGAATCAGAATTTTCATGTATATACTATTTTATAAACACAGGATGGTTTGATGTTTTTTTTTTTGTTTTTGTTTTTATTGTTTTTTGGGTTTTTTTGGTTTGGGTTTTGTTTTATTTTGTTACATGATAACATATCAACTTTTTCCAGTGTCATTATCCTTCTAACATATAACTTAGAAAAAGAGGGCTTTGCCATAATATACTACTAGACATTTTGATTATTTCCAGGTCTTCATTCTTCTAAATAATGCTGCAGCAAACATGAAACCACTATAGTTTAATTTTAGAAGGAGATGAGGACATTTAAAAGGGGAGCACATTAAAATAGATCATGCTTCCAAGAAGACCTGATAGCATTCAGACATCATTTGCTCATATATCAGGGGCCAATCTTCATCACTCTGTGAGGGCATTAAACTCGTTGCAATTTTTAGATTAGTAAAACACATTTAGCACTTTGCACAAGCAAGTTAATAATTGTTTATGTTAAGAACGTGATCATTTTGAAAATACTGACTCTGATAAGCGAAGATGACTTAGAGGAAGACTTAGGTACTTTTTTCTATTATAAAAAAACTGTAACATAATTCAAAATTCTCCCTCACCCACCTCAAATGCTGTAACACTTGGGATGAAAAATAATAAGCCCGAGCACACTATTCAAAGGCATTTGAGACCTAGGCTAGGGTTTATTACAAAACAAGCCCATCTCAGTCAACAAATACTGGCATAAAACACAGCGCTGTGTCCTGTAGTGCATACAAAAGCAAGCAAGACAGAATTCCTACCTTCAAGGCACTTAAAATCGGGTTCTTCTGGTAAGAGGGCAAAAGCAGCTCTTTCAGAGGTGAGAATATGCTAATGTAACACAACAGCATTTTTTTTAATGAATCTTTTGTAGGAAAAATTGTACTTGCCAAAGGAAACAGGCTGGGGATAGGGCAGACACATGGGACACAAGAAGGGATGGGAGCAAAACTTTAAAATATATTCAGATATGAAAAGCAATACTTCCCAAAAGTGACAGCAAAAGCATTAAGAATAAAAACCCAAGGGATAAGGAAAGTTAGCTATGGTCAAATGATGATGCCAACAGAAATACACACAACAAACTCTGAGAGTCAGAGAAGGGAAAAACTCATCTTGTTTAGGGAATCTTAATTACAGTCAGGTGGAAAATGGACTATCAACAGTCCAAGAAAAAAAATCGATATGGGAGCATCTGTGTTTTCTGGAACTCTCTATAAAAATGATTCTACAGGATAAGGTCTACCATAAAACTAACCTTTTCCTAACTTAAATCCTGCTGGGGGCATAGCAGGGCTGTGATGTTTAATATAGACAGTGAACCTCCCAGTACTTAGAACGTTAGTGGCAGTCCCAGCACAAGACCGAAGGGCCACCCAATGGTTAAAAAGGCACAAAGAAATCATGCTCTCAAAGGGAGCTCCTCAATCAGGGCCCATCATTTTTCAACACTCCCATTTACCAGTTTCATATCTGGGAGCAAAGACTAAATATGGGAATAACTTTAGCAGAGGGAAAAATGAAGATGGCTGGGGGAAGATAAGGGAAGTAACCTCTTACGTTTGAACAGATTATTTCTCAAATCTGGATAAGCATCAGAAACATCTAAGCTATTGGTTAAAAATACTGACTCCTGACCTTACCCACCCACTTTCAGGTGATTCTGATTCTGTAGGTTTAAGAGGTGTGAGAACCTGTATTTTGCAAAACCTATCTAAATGATTCCTGTGTGAAGACAGATTTAGACTCAAGGCATAATATGAAATCTCTGCCCTCTACGAAGACACAGAATAAATGTGTGTGTGTGTGTGTGTGTGTGTGTGTGTGTGTGTGTGTGTGTGTGTGTGTGTGCGTGCAAGTATACAGAGATAAGGATGGTTGTCCCTCAGTGTACACAGAGGATTTTGGTTCCAGGACCCCAACGTATACCAATATCGTCACGCACTCAAGTCCCCTACTGAGCTGTGCAGAATCCACATATAAACGAAAATCAGCCCTCCCTGTATGTGGGTTTCGCATAACCCGCTACTGTATTTTCCATCTGCATTTTGTTGAAAGAAATCTGTTTATAAGTGGACACAGACAATGCAAATCCATGTTGTTCAAGTGTCAACTGTATATGTATATAATCATACACAATCCTTCTCACCATAAATGGATAGAAAAAAAGAAAAATCACTGTGTTTCCCTAGGTAAGTCCCCACATAGCTCTACCTCAGTTTTCTCATCTGAAAACCATAGGATTTGGCCTAGAAAAAAAAAATTCAGATCCCTTCTAGTTCTAAAATAACCTGGTTCAGTACTTAGTAGAGTGAGAGCTTTAGAGAAAAATTAACTCAAGGAAAAAACATCCCATCTGGCCTTACTGAAATATTATGGAAAAGTTTTCGGTTTCTAAATTGGTCCCTCATATGGTTTCCTTTTCTTTTTTCTGATCCCCTTTTTGTTCTTAATATTTTCTTTAAACTCACAGAAATTACATATTTTTAAAAGAAATGGTATAAATAACATAAGTCAGACTCTGTTTTAAATAAGTCGAACAAAATAGCAATGGTACAATGTACCAACATTACAAAGTACATGTGATTTCCATAGGATGTAAGAACTTTATTCTGACATTCTTTAAATGCTCATAAAACATGTTCTGCTTGAATGGGGGTTGTGTACTCTTGTTCAAGACAGTTTCATTGCTCCAGAGATACTAATGCCAAAAGTGGTTCCCTGACTAGGATGTACCTCCAATCACTCAGCACCTACACCAGTTCCTGGCTCACAGTAGCTAATCAAAACATATTTATTGAGAGAATTAAGTCACAGATATGTAAAAGTCTTTCTCTTTCCAAAAGTTCTCACCAAAGGCTCTTAATCTATATATTTCCATTGATAATTTAGCCTCCTTAATATTCTAATATAATTTTGAACCCTATAGTTTGTATATGTGAGACCAAGTAGGCTTAAGCCTTTTAACCACTTTCAGAATTTGGTTAAATTCAGAAGGGATTGCTAAGCTGGTCTATCACCTACCTGCAAGTGCTGCTTTTCTGCATGACGTCAGCTCGATGATACCCAGAGAGTTTACAAAAACCGTCATTACTATAAACTACAGGCCAATCCACAATCTGGGCATTTCCCAGTAAGAAACTCGATTCTAAAGAAGAAAGGAGAAAAAGGAAGTTATTTAGCTTCATTTAACAATTTACCTCTTTCAAGTAATCAAAAAAGAAAAATTCATAAATATGAACAAATGCAACTATGGTTTGTTATGGTACATATAATATAAACTATTCTTGAAATTGACGTAATAAGTTCACCGTGATCATCAAATGAGACCTGCAATAAATACAGAATTTGTATACAAATGAAAAATTCCATTCAAAAGAAAACAGCTTATAATACCTCTTTGCATTCAGGTATATGCTGAGCTATGAAAACAAAATATAGTTAATACTAAGTCATGTTAATGACTATAAGTTACACCTAAAAATAGGTTAATTTATTAAGATTAGGGCTATAGTCACTTCCCCACAAATTGAGAATACTTAACTTGATAAACAAGGGAAAACTGGATGACCCCCTCCAAAAATTCTATTAATATAATTTTGACATGAGGAGACAAATTTTTTTTCCATTAGACTGATCTTGAAAAGTCTGATTTAAAAATAGCATTAAAAATTCCTTTTTAAATAAAATTATTCAAAGATATTATTTTAAAACACATACTACAGAGAATTTGGAACTTAGCAGTACTCTATAAAAAAAACTTTCATTTTGCATAGAAAAGTAGGTTTGCTTTTGTATAAATTAATATGAAAATAATACATTTTGGTATTAACTTTAATTGAAAATATATTAGTTTTAGGCAGTAACTTTAGGAGCTTTGTAGATCATATGATAATATGTCAACATTAAAATGAATTTAAATTAATGTTAAAATATAAAAATTATCTGTAAAATAAATATTTAAAAAGTAAAAAATTTTAAAGGAATATTTATAGTTTAGAGTTTCACCTAAAAGAAATCTCTTTTGAACTCATATTGAGTGTCGTATGCTAAAAATAGAAATGAATGTTTGAGTAGAAGACTTTAAATCCTGAGTCTTCATAAAAATAATCCAAATCAACATTTATTAAGTAGCTGCTATGTAAATGGCACTGCTCTGTGTCAGACAACGGGATAGAACAAACATTAATAAAACACACCCTTTGCTCGCATCAAGTTTACATGTTAAAAACAAATATGTAACAATCAAACACAATTTAGCAAAATAGATACTAAATAAAGCAGCACAGGACAAAAAAAAATCCGTTTGTAGTTACTAGGAAGCAACCAAAAGTAGGCAGAAACTGGGAACAATAAAACCTTGGAAAAGGGGAGCTATAGTGCATGAGATACTGATTTAACTGTCCATTCCCCTGAGAATGGGACAGCTCATGGGTGAAACAGCTCAAGCAGAAATGTCTTATAAGGCTAGGGAGTCAAAAGGTCACAATTTGAGGCTGCCAGAGCAACTTGGAGCCGAGAGGGAAATCCTTCAACAGATACAGCCCTAAACCTATGCGTAAATCCAGCTCAAATCCTTCGGTGTGGCCAAAACTTCACATGCACAGGGTGAGATTACAAGGGACCCAGCTGAAGCAATGACTAGAAGGCTAAAGAGAAAGTCAGAAAGTAGACCCACACTAAAAAAAAATCTTAAAATCAAGACTCTTCATGATCAAGGTGATCCACCAGTAATTAAACTGCCTGGTTAAAAAAAAAAATGCAACCCCTTTCAGAGGAAAATAATGGAATCTAAAATCTCTATGTATAACATAGAGATTCGTAATATGCAAAATATTGTGTAAATAATATTTAAAATGTAAAACTAAAATGTTATGTAAAATACGTAAAATCTCAATGTATATCACCAATAGCCCCTCCAAATCGGCAAGTCCATAGGGCACTTTTTACTCATCTCACTTAACAATTCAAAAGTTTCAGCAACCACTCCCTCCTTAAAAGCCTCTCAATACTTGGCTTTCATAGAATAACTTTCACCTGTTTCTCTGAACATTCTTTTATTTCCTTTGCAGGCTCAACATTCCTTATCTAGTAAGTATATAATAGAGTTCCTATATGTCAGTCCTAACCCCTCTCCTTTCTTTGATCTTATGTGTTCATGTACATTCACAGATTCAGTAACTCATTATTGTTTATCTCTAAATCAGACCTCCTCTATAACATTAGATCTTGATATCCAACTCTACCTCTCTTTTTAGCTATCTTAAATGTATCTCAATATAACACGTCCCTTTAGATCAGGTGTTTTCCCAGGGTTTCCTATCTTAGAGAATGGGAACACCATCCATACAGTTATGTAAGCCAGCAACCTAGGAGCCATCAATCAACATTCTTCCCATTACTCTCATATCTAATTCATTACCAAATCTCATGAATTTTATCTCCTAAAACCCTGTCAAATCCCTCCAGTTCTCTCCATCTCTGATCATCACCCAACTCCAACCTTCCATCATCATGTTAGACCACTCTAACAGCTGTCTAATTGGTTTGCTCAGACTTCTCTGGGATTCCTTCAACGGGTTTTCCAGACTGAAACCAAAGCTGTCTTTTTAAAACTCAAACTGGATCATGTTCCCTCCTTGCTTTAACATCCATCAATAGTTTATCATGGCTCTCAGGGCACCCAATGACCTATATTCCATGACCTATAATGACTTCAAAGTCTGTCCAACCTCAGATCTCACCACTGTGACCCTTGCCTACAATCCTATAACCACACTGACTTTTCTTACATTCTTGTGTCAAGTTCTCTCCCACTATGAGGACTTTTTCACTTGCCATGCTCTCTGCTGAAACACCATCCCTCTCCCTCTTCACCTGGTTGACATCTACTTTATTTAGACTTTAACTCAATTGTCATGACCTCAGGAATCTTCCTTTGCCCTCTGACCAAGTTTTATCCCTACTATATAATTTTTTACATGATATACTTCATCCTGACAGCCATTATCACAATTGCAGTTTTATACATATTTGTGTTATGACTTAACTAATGCATATCTGCCTGCTAGATTATAAGCTCTATAAGGATAGAGCCCATGTAGGTTTTACCAACATTTGATCTGTCATTGTGTAGCATAGTGCCTAGCACAAAATAAATGCTAATTTATTGGCTGGCTGTATGAATAAACAATTGAATTAATATATTCTTGCTAAGATCTCTCTTTATATAATTGGTATCTAAAACTTATTGTGCAATGTCTTTCTAAATATTTGATATATGCTATTTTTGTCTTTTCATATGGATGACATATTACTTACAATTATAAATTATATGCCTACTATGTATACAAGAGTTTCAGTATAGTCATCCAGACAGAAAACCAATAATGAAACATTGAACTATGCTAACAGACATATACAAAACATTCTGTCCAATGGCAACAAAATACACATTCTTCTCAAGTATACACAGAACATTCTGCAGGATAGATCAATATTAGGCCACAAAATAAGTCTTAACAAATTTAAGAGAACTGAAATCACATCAAGTATCTTTTCTCACCACAATGGTATAAAAGGAAGAATTTCAAAAAATTCACCAATACATGGAAACTAAATAATACACTCCTAAACAACCAAGGGGTCAAAGAAGAAATTAAAAGGGAAATTTTTAGATATCTTGAGATGAATGAAAATGAAAGCACAATATACCAAAACTTATGGGATGCAACAAAAGCAGTTCTAAGAGGAAAGGTCATAGCAATAAAAGCTGACATCAAAAAGAAGATCTCAAATAAATAAACTAATGTTACACCTCAGCAAGCTAGAAAAAGAAGAGCAAACTAATCCCAAAGATAGGAAGGAAACAATAAAGATTACGACAAAAAAAAATGTAATAGAGACTAGATAAACAATTTTTAAAAGATCAGTGAAACTAAGAATTGTTTTTTTGAAAAGATAAACAAAATTGACAGACCGTTAGCTAGACTAGAAAAAAAAAGAAGACTAAAACAAATAAAATCAGAAATGAAAAAGAAGACATTACAACTAATATCACAGAAATACAAAGGATCACAGAGACTACTATGAACAATTTATATGCCAACAAACTGGCTAATCTAGAAGAAATGAATAAATTCCTAGACACATACAATCTATAAAGATTAAATCATGAAGAAAAAGAAAATCCGAACAGACCAACAACAAATAAGGAGATTTAAGCAGTAATAAAATGTCTCCCATCAAAAAAAGCACAAAACCTTATCATTTAACTCAGGGGTCCTCAAACTTTTTAAACAGGAGGCCAGTTCACTGTCCCTCAGACTGTTGGAGGGCCAGACTATAGTTTAAAAAAAAACTATGAACAAATTCCTATGCACACTGCACATACCTTATTTTGAAGTAAAAAAACAAATGGGCAAAAACACCCACATGTGGCCCATGGGCCATAGTTTGAGGACGCCTGATTTAACCGCTTAATTCTACCAAACATTGAAAGAAAAACTAATTCAGCCCTTCTCAAACTCTTCCAAAAAACACTGAAGAAGAGAGAAAACTTCCAAACTCATTTCGTGAGCCCAGCATTAGCCTGATGCCAAAAACAATGACACCATAAGAAAAGAAAATTATGGGCCAATAACCTTGATGAACATACATGAAAAAATCCACAATAAAATACTTGCAAATCAAACTCAACAGCACTATAGAAGGATAATTCACTATGATCACTATGATCAAGTGATATTTATTCCTTAGATACAAAGATTGTTCAACATAACCCAATCAATAAATGTAATACAACTCACTCTAGATATAGAAAAAGCACTTGACAAAATTCAATATCCCTTCATGATTTAAAAAACTCAACAAATTAGATATAGAAGGAATGTACTTCAACATAATAAAGGCCATATATGACAAGCCCATAGCTAACATACTCAGTGTGAAGAGTTGAAAGGTTTTTCCTCTAAAATCAGGAAAAAGACAAAAATGCCCATTCTCACCACTTTTTTTCAACATAGTACCAGAAGTATTCGCCAGAATGATCAGATAAGAGAAAGAAAAGAAAGCTTCCAAATAGGAAAGAAAGAACTTGAATTGTGTCTGCCTGCAGACAACATGACAACCTATAGAATGGGAGAAAAT